ATACATATCCCAGCAATACCTTAAATCCATTAGGTTATGGATATCAATACAACTCCACTCCAGCTCAGATGAATAGCTCATATGGAGGCTTTAACATGTCAGCTACTGGCATTTCGCCCATCAGTAAGTTTTTCATAACCGCTTTTCAAACAAACTTTTTCTTCATACTTCGTTCATTTCCTTATTTGCAGCTCCTCGATCAACTTCCAATTCCAACGGAACCCCAAATAGTTCATCAACGGCTGTCTCAGCTTCTCCTTCTTCATCTCGCAGCAATTCATATCCTTCCCAGAATGGTGAAGTACATCTTACAACAGCTGAATACGTAAGTCTCATATTCTTTTTCACATTTACACTTTTCAAACGTATTTTTTCAAACGTATTATAATCGTTTTTGTAATCTGACTAATCTATTCTCTTAACGATATTCCAAAATGGAAACAAGTATTTTAATGTAACTTTTCGTTTTAAGAACAAGTTCCGACGTCACGGATACGGTAACCAGAAGCCACCTTATTCGTACATCAGTCTCATCACAATGGCTATTCAACATTCTGATAACAAAATGCTGACATTATCTGAAATTTATAACTGGATTATGAATCTCTTCCCATATTACGAGACCAACCAACAACGTTGGCAGAACTCTATCAGACATTCCTTATCCTTCAACGACTGCTTTGTCAAAGTGCCAAGGTGAGCATTCCTCCTAAAGGCTTAATTAAGTTTCTTGTTTTCAGAACTCCCGATAAACCTGGAAAGGGTTCATTCTGGACATTACATTCCATGTGTGGAAATATGTTTGAGAATGGCTGCTACTTACGTCGTCAGAAGAGGTTCAAGGTTAAGGAACGAGAGCCAAGCAGAAAGAAGGTTGGTCATTGTTTGAACAACTTTTCCTTTAACCCCTCTAGCATCTTTGAAAGAAAGAAGCACCTGGTGTGAATTTCTAATATGTCCTCCTTTATTCAATTTTTGGATGAAATGGTCATTTAAACGACCTCTTTCCGTTTTTCCTCATTCTCTCACCCACTCCCTCTTTCGAAACATTTCTTCGCTCTCATCCTTCTTATTCACCAATGTTTTTCCCTTCTCTTCCTCCCCGACTCGTTTCATCTGCTTTTTTTCAGAAGAATCAGAACAACCAAGCTCAACAGCAGCAACAACAACAACAACTAAGCTTAGATAGTAGTGCTGGAAAGGATGATGATTACGGAAAGATCAAAATTGAACCCAAGATTGAAGATGTTCCGGTGAATCAGAATGATCTCGATCAAGCTCAATCTCAACAGTCATCTGTCTCTTCATCACAAAGGGAAAACCAATCTGTAAGTTCTTCATTAGCTTCAATATTTATGAATCCTTATCTCTTGCAGAAAGATGACTCCCAAAATCAGCAGTTACAGCCAATTTCACTCTCCTCGCCAACAACATCTTTATCTCAGGCGACTTCAGTCATATCATCAGTAGGAATAAGTAATGCTCCGGTAAGTTGTTTCTTTTCTCTCTTCTGCACTTAGTATTATCGAAATGATTCTTTACTTTTTCATTTTCAGCTCAATCCATACCAATATGGAGGAATGTTGTATTCACCGGACTTCCAGGCCACCAATCCTTTACCTGGTTTGACACAATCAGCCTTCACCATCAATACATTGGTAGACACGAAGGTAGTTCTAACTCTAGTTTAACATTCATTTCAACTTCATTATTCAGGGATTCGACTATCAATCACCTTACCCCAATGTTTATCAATCAGTTACCGATTATCCAAGTTATCCCAACACTCTGTATAGGTGAGTAGCCCTTCGTGCTCCGGCTTTCATTATGGATCTTCTTTGCAGTGCGAGCAATCCAAGTACGGCTTCGAACCTGTGAATAGATGGAAATTTAAATCATTAACAGGCTTTTCAACCCTTGATGGAGGATAATCTACTACCTTCACTTGTACATAAAAAAGAGCCGAAAGCCTAGAAAGTGAGATGAAAGTTGTGACGGTTTTTCACTTGATGCCTTAGTTGCCGATCTACGAGCTTTT